CACAACTATTTACAGCCTTGGAAACCCTTACAGGGTCAATGTGAGTCGAACTGACTTGACAGCACACTTAACAACAATATGGGGGAAGGATACATGAGCAATTGAAAGTCAACGTAAGATCACTGAACCCAGAAAGAAAGGAGAAAATTGGTATCATAAAGAGGTACAAATAGTCTGAGCTATTTGAAGAAAACCAAGTGGTGTTTTGTTTTTTCCCTCGTGAGATTTAAACTAGCTTGTATTAGAAGCCCCAAAGGACAGGCTGGATCTGGGCATCTGTGGCATGCGGGCACCTAGAGATTGGTCAACAGGTTGGCATCAGGGTCGGTTAGTGAAGTCTAGAACCTAGTGAGAAGAAATGGGGTGGATAAGATTAGGGAGGAAAGTTGGAGAGCTCAACGTAGAAAAAATGGTGCAGTAATTAAGCGCTCTGAAGTTAACTTTAAAGCTGGCAGTTCGGGCCTAGCTGTAGCATTAACAGTAACCAATTCAATACATGCGTCGATAGGTATTTAATTTTCCCTTAAGGTATTCTGGATCAGCAGATTCCTCTAATTTTTTGTTGTTGTTTATTTGGAATACTTCTGACACTTTAGTCTTAGTTGTGTTGCTTTTTACTGCATTGCATTCATCCAGATGCTGACACTTAAGATGCCTCCTTAAATTGCTTGCCTGGTTTCCAACCATATCTGTGTTGCAGATTTTGCATATGCTTTTATTTCCAATCTTTTCATATTAGAAAAATTCTTGACAGGGATTTTCTCTGGTTCATCTAACTTACTGGTTCATCTGGTTCATTCAGTGGTTAAGAAATACACCTACTCTTCATTTATGAGCTGTCTTCTTAACAGACATTTTACGTTGATGACAATTATAAAAAACCTATTACCTGGCTATTTTGTGCATTAATAATATATGTCTGGCAGTAATGAACACCAGGGTGTGAGGTGAGAATAATGCTGGGCTATGATGGCCTGACCCAAGCCATGGTATTTTCAATAACCTCATATGCATATGAAAGCTGGACAGTGAATAAGGAAGACCTTAGAAGAATTGATGCTTTTGAGTTATGGTGTTGGAGGAGAATATTTAAAGTGCCATGGGCTGCCAAAAGAACCAATAAATCCGTTCTGGAAGAAGTGCGGCCAGAGTGCTCCTTGGGGCCCAAGATGGCCAATCTTCGTCTCTCATACTTTAGACATATTGTCAGGAGGGACCAGTAGCTAGAGAAGGATACCATGTTTGGTAATATGGAAGGTCAGAGGAAAAGAGGAAGACCCCTAACGAGATGGATTGGCCAAGTGGCATCATCAGTGGACTCAAGTGTGGCAACAGTAGTGAGGCTGGCCCCGGATCGGGCAGTGTTTTCGTTTTGCAGTGGATAAGGTCGCTATGGGTTGGTACTGACTCGATGGCACCTAACGACAACAAAAACACGATGGTTAAGGAGTCCTGGTGTGGTGCTGTGGGTTGATGCGTCAGACTGCAAAGTTGTTAGAACTGCCAAGGTCAGTGCAAGTCGTTTGAACGACAGGGTGTCTATGGGTCGGAATCGACGGCACTTAATAACAACAACATGATGGTTAAGGTTATACTCAGCTTGGCTGCGTCATAATTCTAAGTGGTTTGGTAGTTATGTATTGATGTAATTTGACAGTTATGTAGTGTTACTGTTAAGTAATGATGTCATTTAGCAGTGATGTGTGCAGCCATCCTCCATTTTGATTTAACTGATTGTCTCATAACTTGTCCTTTGGAACATAATCATGTTATCATATGTGAGGAGTAGGTGTAATATTAACATTAGATCATATTGCATAGTCACTCCATTACATTAGGAGCCCTAGTGGCACAGTGGTTAAAATGCTTGACTACTGACTAAAAGGTTGTTAGTTCAAGTCCACCAGCTACTCTGCTTCCATAAAGACTTACAGCCTTGGAAACCTATGGGGCATTTCTACCCTGTCCTGTAGGGTTGCTATGAGTTGGAATTGACTGGATGGTATTGGGTTTGGTTGGTGTATTACATTACAGAAAAAACAAATCTCAGACTTAGATAATACAAAGAAAACAGAATATATAAATACATTCATAGGAATGAATTAGAACTAGTACATATTAAAATGTTTATAACCATGTATCATCAGTATATCAGACAAACCAGAATAACTTCAATTTTATATTCGCAGGGTTTGCTAATTTCTTCTGTACAGAGCTCTACCTTTTGACATTTTTGTACATTTATCCTTTTGAAGGAAAATTGTACTTCATAGTGATGTATCAAGTTGTTTCTATGAAATAACAGTATATTACAATTGGAATAATTTTCTTCCTACTAGTTGTTGGTGTTTGTTGACATTTCAGTTGGTTAGATAAATAGAAAATTTAAACATATAAGTATAGCAATGTGTGGTGGTGGTTGTTGTTAGGTACCGTCGAGTCTGTACCGACCCATAGTGACCTTATGCACAGCAGAATGAAACACTGTGCCCGATCCTTGGCCAACCTCACTACTATTGCCACTCTTGAGTCCATTGATGCTGCCACTTGGCCAATCTATCTCATTGGGGGTCTTTCTCTTTTTCTCTGACCCTCCACCTTACCAAACATGATATTCCTTCTCTAGTGACTGGTCTTTCCTGACAATGTGTCCAAAGTATGAGAGACGAAGGTTGGCCATCTTGGCCTTCAAGGAGCATTCTGGCTGCACTTCCTCCAAAATGAATCTATTGGTTCTTTTGGCAGCCCATGGCACTTTAAATATTCTCCTCCAACACTATAATTCAAAAGCATCAGTTCTTCTACAATCTTCCTTATTCACTGTCCAGCTTTCACATGCATATGAGGTTATTGAAAATGCCATGGCTTGTGTCCTCAAGCTGACATCTTTGCTCTTCAACACTTTAAAAAGGTCCTGTGCAGCAGATTTGCCTAATGCAATATGCCCTTTGATTTCTTCACTGCTGCTTCCATGAGTATTGATAGTTGATCCAAGAAGAATGAAGTTCTTAATAACTTCAATCTTTTCTCCATTGATAAGAATGTTGTTTATTGGTCCAGTGGTGAGGATTTTTGTTTTCTTTACATTGAGATGCAATCCATACCAAAGGCTGTGCTCTTTGATCTTCATCAGTAAATGTTTTAAGTTCCTCTTCACCTTCAGCAAGCAAGGTTATATCATCTGCATATTGCAGGTTGTTAATGAGTCTTCTTCCAATCCTGATGCCACGTTTTTCTTCATATAACCCAGCTTCTTGGATTATTTGCTCAGCATACAGGTTGAATAAGTATAGTGAAAGAATATAACCCTGTCTCACACCTTTCTGCTCATCTGAAACCTGTCCACCATGGGTAACCCTGCTGGTATTTAAAATACCGGTGGCATAGCTTCCAGAATCATAGCAACTCACAAGCCACCACAGTACGACAAACTGACAGACAAGTGGTGGAATGTGTGATAGTACACTTAAATCAAGATTGAATACAAGAATGGAATCTTCAAAAAATTGTACCCTATTTTCTATTGAATTAAAAAAAAAATCACACTTAAAACTGTGATTTATATACATTAAAAATGTTTACACTTACCTGACAGATTTCCATTTCCATGAAATTGTGTTCCGAACTTGATGCAGTTTTACAAGTTCCTTCTTTAATATTTATGACTATTAGTGTTCTCACGGCTTCTGTAGCACGTCTTGTGTTACTGTGAGAGAGGTCCAATACACAGTGGAAAAGATGACTCACTGGTCTGGAGTGCTCTTCTGTAGCATCAGTCATCATTGATAGCTGTGGCTGCGCAACACTGAAACAAACTGTACTCTTTCCAGTCATGTGCCAGAGAATCAGTCAGCTCACATGCGTGCCAGATGCAAATCAGACATAAATGATCCTGTGGTCTTTTTTTTTTTTTTTGTCGTTTCCCCCCATGTTTTATTGTGAATTATATGATATTTTACATGACAGAACTTTAGTTTCACATTCATTCCACCGTATATCGTTTCATTGCCATGGTTCCAATCCCCTCCATGCATCACCAACAGACCAAAGGGTATACCTTACACTCCCCCCCTCCCCCATTCTTCAGCACACAGTCCCTCTCCCTCTCTGGATCCAAAGTCCCCAGCGCTTCATCACTCCATGTCATCGTCTCTGCCTATATCTCGAGTCTCGCTGCTTCTCTGGGTAGGGTCCCGCTCTCGGCTCTTCTCCGTTGATGGTCCTAGAGACCTCCGCTCCTAGATTGGAGAGTTAATCACTCCCTTCCTTGCTACAAAACATCTGCCTTTACTTTTCCAACCCTCACAATCAGTCCTGATAACAATCATTCACTATTGTATCACAAGTGACCCTTCTGCATTTCATTTCATCAGCTCCGCCTAGACAGATTGGATAGTACTCAGTGGAGATTCTGCCTTCCTCCATGCCCCCTAGCTCTAGGTTCCCTCTTGAAAGCTTGTAAGCCAGTCACTTCTTGCCTTTGTAGTACCCCTTCCCCCCTCCCCCATTTGGGTATACAATGTCCAAGTTGCCCATCTCTGTCTACTTACTATGTGTGTGGAGGGGGTGAGAATGTTTCTTGCTGTAAGGATTTTGTTCCCTCTTTTGGGTTACTGCATCCATAGGTGTAGGTCAAGGTCATCAAATTGTATCAGATCACTCTTTTTTTTTCTCTCTTCTTTCTTCTCCTGGTTGAGTTCTGATCATCCATTCATAGGGGCCAGGTCACGTGGGTACCATGATCCTGTGGTCTTATAACTTAACAATTGTGTTGAAGTGAAAATAGCAGAGTTTGAAAAAAAAAAAAAGGTTTCCAATTTCAATTCTGGTGTTGGTTTCACTCCAGTGAAAATTTCGGTACTTCTTGGTTTTTAATTATGTTTTGGTTCAAAATTCTTTTTATCGTATGCAGATAGCCATAAACTTTACAGTAAGTGTTAAGTATTTGTTTTTTCTTAGATGGTATCATTCAACGTTTTATTAATTGTTTCAGATTTACAATGACATCCTTTCAAGAAGTCCCATTGCAGACGTCCAACTTTGCACATGTCATCTTTCAAAATGTGGCCAAGAGTTATCTACCTAATGCACATCTGGAATGTCATTACACCTTAACTCCGTATATCCATCCACATCCAAAAGATTGGGTTGGTATATTCAAGGTAAGAAAATTTTGATTATTTGTTCCATTAAGACACTGTTCATGTACTTTTTAAACAAATTGACAAGTAGCTTAGAGTAGCCTTTATCTGAACTGTGTATCACCATGAAATATGTAATAAACAGCACTGGATAATATAAAACAAATGTTGGGAACCTCATTTTAACAGGCTATGATCAAAAGATTGAACTTCATTCTGGTCTTTCAAAATTTTTTTCAAAATCATTTTCCTTTTGGGTTCTCAAATCATTTATTGTCTGTTCCACTTTTTCCACAAAGTCTATGAAAAAGGAATCCTGGTGGTGCAGCGGGGCTAAGCACAAGGCTACTGAAATGTCAGTGGTTGAAGCCCACCAGCTATCTAGGAGAAAAATGCTAACACTGTTTCCATAAAGATTGTTGTTAGGTGCCATCAAGTCAGTATCAACTCATAGTGGCCCTACACACAACAGAACGAAACAATGCCTGGTCCTGTGTCAATATCACATTCTTTACTATGTTTGAGTCCATTGCTACTGCCATTGTGCCATTCCATTTTGTCTTCCTCTTTTTCCCTGACCCTCCATTTCACCAAACATGGTATCTTTCTCTAGGGACTGACCCTTCCTGATAATATGTCCAAAGTATGAGAGATAAAGTCTGGCTGTTCTGGCTTCCAAGGAACATTGTGTCTATACTTCTTCCAACACAGATAGATCTGTTTGTTCTTTTGGCATTCCATGGTACTTTTAATATAATTAATTCTCCAACACCAATATTCAAATGCATCAGTTCTACTATGGTCTTCCTTATTCACTGTCCAACTTTCACATGCATATGAGGTTATTGAAAATACCATGGCTTTGGTCAGGTGCACCTTAGTCCTCAAACTGACATCTTTGCTTTTCAACACTTAAAAGAGATCTTGTGCAGTAGATTTGCCTAATGCTGTATTTCGATTGATTCCTTGACTGCTGCTCCCTTGAGTATTGATGGGTGATCCCAGCAAAATGAAATCTTTAATAGCTTCAGTCTTAGCTCCATTTATTTTGATGTTGCTTATTGGTCCAGTGGTGAGGAGTTTCGTTTTCTTTACAATGAGGTACATACAACTCTTACTGAAGGCTGTGGTCTTTGATCTTCATCAGTAAGTATTTTAAGTCCTCTTCATTTTCAACAAGCAAACTTGAATCATCTGCAAATTGCAGGTTGTTAATGAGTCTTCCTCCAATTCTGATGCCCCGTTTTTCTTCATATAACCCAGTGTTTCAGATTATTTGCTCATCATACAGATTAAAAAAGAATGGTGAAAGAACATAACCCTGGCGCACACCTTTCGTAATTTTAAAACATCCAGTGTTCCCTTGATCTGTTGGAACAGCTGCCTCTTGGTCTATGTACAGGTTCCTTATGAGCAGAATTAAGTGTTCTGGAATACTCATTCTCTGCATGTCCATGGCCTGTCATGAGACACACAATTGAAAGCTTTTGTGTGGTCAATAAGCACAAGTAAACATCATTTCTGACATCAGAGATGATATATAGGAAATAGGGATATCACTTAATATCCCTCGTTCCACGTCCTCTTCTGAATCCAGTTTGAACCTCTGGAAATTCTTTGTCAATGTTTGCTTGCAGCTGTTTTTTATTATCTTTAGCATAAATACATTTATATAAAATAATAACAAGAGGATGTTTTCATAAAAATTACAGCCTTGGGAACCCTAAAGGACAGTTCTGCTCTGTCCATAGTGTCATTATAAGTAAGCATCTACTTGATGGCAACCAGATTTTGTTTTGTTTTTAGGTTTAGTCTATACAAGTTAAACAACAAGGTAGAAAGAAATAAGAATAGTTGCAAGCCATATTGAGAGTATCTAGAAGTGAAAGTCCAGGTTAATAGAGTGAAAAACCTATGTTTATAAAGAACAGACATTTATATGTCATTTCAGTTCCTTTAAAAAAAAAAGAAAATTTGTTGTTGAGAAAATACACAGCATAGCATGCACCAATTCACCAGTTTCTCCATGTACCATTTAGTGACATTAGTTACAGTCTTCAAGTTGTACAACCATTCTTAGCCTCCTTTTCTGAGTAGTTCTTTGCCATTAACATAAATTCACCCCAAGGTTCCTATCTAATCTGTTGAGTTGCTGCCAGTTTAATCTCTTATTGTTGTTGTCAAGTGCCGTTGAGTCGATTCTGACCCATAGTGACCCTTTATAGGGTTCCAAGGAGCAGCATGGTGAGCTTGAACTGCCAACCTTGCAGTTCAAACAGCTTTGTAGTCTGGTGCATTAACCTACAGCGCCACATGATTCTTAAAAGAGCATAGTGCTCAAGGTAGACTTTTATTAATAAGCTAAACTATTGTTTGCCTTTTAAAAGGCTTTGAGCTATTTTTGGTTTGTGGTTTAAAGATTATCTCAAGGCAGTAGGTTCAGGGGCTCATGCAACCTTCATGGCTTTAGAAAGTCTGTAGCCTGTGAGAATTTGAAATTCTGTTCTGCATCCCTACCCTTTTTGATCAGAATTCTTCTATAAAATTTTTGATCAAAATGCTCAGTGCTGGTAGCTGGGCACCATCCATTTTTGTAGTCTCTTGGTAAAGGAAGCAGTTGCTCATGAAGACAATTAGCCATACATTTTCTGTCCTTCTCCTATTGCTAACTTTCTTTACTCTATTCTTCCAGTAGAGACCAATTGTTAGGCCTTGCAAGCTTCTAAGACCCTGGGCACTGTGCAACAAACTAGGAGGCAAAACAGCAGTACTAAATACTTTATTAGTTCAATTAAGTTAGATTTTTCATGAAACTATTACCCTAAACCTCCAAACCATGGAATCATATCCCATGAGGCATTTGTTGTTGTTAAGTGCTGTTGAGTCCGTTCCGACCCATTGTTGTTGTTAGGTGCCATCGAGTCGGTACCAACTCATAGCGACCTTCTGAGGAGTGGCTGGCTGGTGAGCCTGAACTGCTGACCTTGCAGTTCAGTGCATTAACCCACAGCGCTACAACATTTAGCTGTACTTAAAGAGTCCTGGTGGGACTAAGTAAGGGTTCCAATCTCCCCACATCCTCATCAATATTTGTTGTTTCTTAAAAAAAATCTTAAGTATCCTTGTGGAGTGAACTAGTGGTTCGTTGTGGTTTTGATTTGCATCTCTTCTGAAAGCTAGTAACTAAGCATCCTTTTGTGTTAGGTGGCCATTTTGTCTATTTTATGATTGGGTTATTTGTCCTTTTTTTGTTTTTCGTTGTTTTAAAGTTGTTGAAGTGTTGCATATATTTTGGCTGTTGGATTCTTGCCGGATGTGTGATTTCTGAAGGTATTCTTTTAGTTGGTAGCTTGTCTTTTCACTTTTCTGGTAAAGTCTTTTGATGAACACAAGATATTTACTTTTATCAGGTGCTATATATTTTTGTTTTTTGCTATTTGTGCCCATTCTAAAGAGAGGTGACTCAGTGGAATGCAGAAATCATCACACAATCTCTTTGTTATCCCATGCGAGTAGAGTTTTACTAAAGGTAATTCAGAAATGGCTGCAAGCATACATTGACAGAGAACTTCCAGAGTTTCAAGCTGGCTTCAGAAGAAGCCCTGGAATGAGGGCTATCATTGCTGATGTCCAATGGATCTTGGCTGAAAGTAGAGACTATCAGAAAGATGTTTACCTGTGCTTTATTAACTGTGCAAAGGCTTTCTGTTGTGTGGCTCATGACAAGCTATGGACAGCATTGTGCTCATGAGGAGTCTGTACCTGGACCAAGATGCAGTTGTTCGACCAGAACATGGGAACACTGAATGGTTTAAAATTAAGAAAGGTTTGCGACAAGGTTGTAGTCTTTCACCATACTTATTCAACATGTATTCTGAGCAAATAATACGAGAAGCTGGGTTACATGAAGAAAAATGTGGCATCAGGATTGGAGGAAGACTCATTACCAATCTGCAATATGCAGATGATACAACCTTGCTTTCTGAAAGTGAAGAGGAACTTAAAACATTTACTGATGAAGATCAAAGAACACAGCCTTTGGTATGAATTGCATCTCAATGTAAAGAAAACAAAAATCCTCACCACTGGACCAATAAATAACATTCTTATCAATGGAGAAAAGATTGAAGTTGTCAAGAACTTCATTCTTCTTGGATCAGCTATCAACACTCATGGAAGCAGCAGTCAAGAAATCAGAGGGCATATTGCATAGGCAAATCTGCTGCACAGGACATTTTTAAAGTGTTGAAGAGCAAAGATGTCAGCATGAGGACTGAGGTGCGCCAGACCCAAGCCATGGTATTTTCAGTAACCTCATATGCATTTGAAAGCTGGACAGTGAATAAGGAAGATTGTAGAAGAATTGACGCATTTGAGTTTTGGTGTTGGAGGAGAATATTGAAAGTATCATGGACTGCCAAAAGAACCAATAGATCCATTTTGGGCGAAGTGCAGCCAGAGTGCTCCTTGGAGGCCAAATAGCCAAACTTTGCCTCTCATACTTTGGACATAATTGTCAGAAAGGACCAGTTGCTAAAGAAGGAATACCATGTTTGGTAAGGTGGAGGGTCAGAGAAAAAGAGGAAGACCCCCCCTTAGGAGATGGATTGGCCAAGCGGCAGCATTGATGGACTCCTCAAGCGTGACAACAGTAGTGAGGTTGGCCCAGGATCGGGCAGTGTTTCGTTCTGCTGTGTCTAAGGTCATTGTGGGTCGGTACCAACTGGATGGCACCTAACAACAACATTTGTACTTTTGTTACCATATTAGATAATCCATTATCTAATCTGTTGCTAGGTCTAACAGCTTGCCCCTGCTTTTTCTTCTAAGAACTTCATGCTTTTAGTTTGTGTATTTAGGTCTTTAACTTCTTTTTGTGTGTAGTGTGAGGTATAGCTCCTTTTTCATTTTTCTGCATGTGGAAATTCAGTATCCCTAAAACAGTTTACTTAACAGACTCTTTCCCCATTGAATGCATTTGTTGTTGTTAAGTGCCGTCAAGTTGTTTCTGACTCATAGTG